AGATGTGTGCAACTTACCCCTTACCTCTTAATCGGCCCTTAAAGGAAGGGGCGCGTCAAAAGTGCCTCAAGGGTTCGTCTGATCGCCAAAATAAGGGTCGCAATCGATTCCCCGGGTCAATATTTAGCCGCAAGGGGTAAGGGGTAAGTTGCACACATCTGGAACCCGAAGCTGCGGCTAGATATTGACCCGGGGAATCGATTACGACCCTTATTTTGGCGATCAGACGAATCCTTGAGGCACTTTTGACGCGCCCCATCCTTTAAGGGCCGATTAAGGGGTAAGGGGTAAGTTGCACACATCTGGAACCCGAGGCTGCGGCTAGATATTGACCCGAGGAATCGATTGCGACCCTTATTTTGGCGATCAGACGAACCCTTGAGGCACTTTTGACGCGCCCCTTCCTTTAAGGGCCGATTAAGGGGTAAGGGGTAAGTTGCACACATCTGGAACCCGAGGCTGCGGCTAGATATTGACCCGAGGAATCGATTGCGACCCTTATTTTGGCGATCAGACGAACCCTTGAGGCACTTTTGACGCGCCCCTTCCTTTAAGGGCCGATTAAGGGGTAAGGGGTAAGTTGCACACATCTGGAACCCGAGGCTGCGGCTAGATATTGACCCGGGGAATCGATTGCGACCCTTATTTCGGCGATCAGACGAACCCTTGAGGCACTTTTGACGCGCCCCTTCCTTTAAGGGCCGATTAAGGGGTAAGGGGTAAGTTGCACACATCTGGAACCCGAGGCTGCGGCTAGATATTGACCCGGGGAATCGATTGCGACCCTTATTTCGGCGATCAGACGAACCCTTGAGGCACTTTTGACGCGCCCCTTCCTTTAAGGGCCGATTAAGGGGTAAGGGGTAAGTTGCACACATCTGGAACCCGAGGCTGCGGCTAGATATTGACCCGAGGAATCGATTGCGACCCTTATTTTGGCGATCAGACGAACCCTTGAGGCACTTTTGACGCGCCCCTTCATTTAAGGGCCGATTAAGGGGTAAGGGGTAAGTTGCGCACATCTGGAACCCGAGGCTGCGGCTAGATATTGACCCGAGGAATCGATTGCGACCCTTATTTTGGCGATCAGACGAACCCTTGAGGCACTTTTGACGCGCCCCTTCCTTTAAGGGCCGATTAAGGGGTAAGGGGTAAGTTGCACACATCTGGAACCCGAGGCTGCGGCTAGATATTGACCCGGGGAATCGATTGCGATCCTTATTTTGGCGATCAGACGAACCCTTGAGGCACTTTTGACGCGCCCCTTCCTTTAAGGGCCGATTAAGGGGTAAGGGGTAAGTTGCACACATCTGGAACCCGAGGCTGCGGCTAGATATTGACCCGAGGAATCGATTGCGACCCTTATTTTGGCGATCAGACGAATCCTTGAGGCACTTTTGACGCGCCCCTTCCTTTAAGGGCCGATTAAGGGGTAAGGGGTAAGTTGCACACATCTGGAACCCGAGGCTGCGGCTAGATATTGACCCGAGGAATCGATTGCGACCCTTATTTTGGCGATCAGACGAACCCTTGAGGCACTTTTGACGCGCCCCTTCCTTTAAGTGCCGATTAAGGGGTAAGGGGTAAGTTGCACACATCTGGAACCCGAGGCTGCGGCTAGATATTGACCCGGGGAATCGATTGCGACCCTTATTTTGGCGATCAGACGAACCCTTGAGGCACTTTTGACGCGCCCCTTCCTTTAAGGGCCGATTAAGGGGTAAGGGGTAAGTTGCATACATCTGGAACCCGAGGCTGCGGCTAGATATTGACCCGAGGAATCGATTGCGACCCTTCTTTTGGCGATCAGACGAACCCTTGAGGCACTTTTGACGCGCCCCTTCCTTTAAGGGCCGATTAAGGGGTAAGGGGTAAGTTGCACACATCTGGAACCCGAGGCTGCGGCTAGATATTGACCCGAGGAATCGATTGCGACCCTTATTTTGGCGATCAGACGAACCCTTGAGGCACTTTTGACGCGCCCCTTCCTTTAAGGGCCGATTAAGGGGTAAGGGGTAAGTTGCACACATCTGGAACCCGAGGCTGCGGCTAGATATTGACCCGAGGAATCGATTGCGACCCTTATTTTGGCGATCAGACGAATCCTTGAGGCACTTTTGACGCGCCCCTTCCTTTAAGGGCCGATTAAGGGGTAAGGGGTAAGTTGCACACATCTGGAACCCGAGGCTGCGGCTAGATATTGACCCGAGGAATCGATTGCGACCCTTATTTTGGCGATCAGACGAACCCTTGAGGCACTTTTGACGCGCCCCTTCCTTTAAGGGCCGATTAAGGGGTAAGGGGTAAGTTGCACACATCTGGAACCCGAGGCTGCGGCTAGATATTGACCCGAGGAATCGATTGCGACCCTTATTTTGGCGATCAGACGAACCCTTGAGGCACTTTTGACGCGCCCCTTCCTTTAAGGGCCGATTAAGGGGTAAGGGGTAAGTTGCACACATCTGGAACCCGAGGCTGCGGCTAGATATTGACCCGGGGAATCGATTGCGACCCTTATTTCGGCGATCAGACGAACCCTTGAGGCACTTTTGACGCGCCCCTTCCTTTAAGGGCCGATTAAGGGGTAAGGGGTAAGTTGCACACATCTGGAACCCAAGGCTGCGGCTAGATATTGACCCGAGGAATCGATTGCGACCCTTATTTTGGCGATCAGACGAACCCTTGAGGCACTTTTGACGCGCCCCTTCCTTTAAGGGCCGATTAAGGGGTAAGGGGTAAGAGCTAGGGCCAAATAAAGGTCATATTCTTGCTCCCCGTCCCCCAATTGACCTTATATGAGTTTTTTAAGCGATTCTGAATCCGACGCTGTATTCGTTGCTGTTGCTGACGCTAACTTCACGGACATAGACGGCGAAGATATAGCCTGAAGCACATTAAATTTTATTGGTGCAAAACCTACCGTTAAAACCCGCGAGACCTGTACCTACCCGAAAGAACTACCATGTATTGAATGATTGTTCACTTCCTATTGCCGATTACATATGTTTCTTCAAAGTTCGTCTATTTAAAAATATAATCAAAAAAGTAATCGTAGGTACTCTCATAATTAAAATAGAAAATCGTAAAAAAGCCAGATAACTTTTTGACTTTTTAACGGTTACTTTTTTATTATACATATTTTTAATTATGTCTATGTCTCTCAAAACAGTGCTCACAACAGTTCGTCTAATTAGACGGTTTTCATCCTCTTAGATCCAAACCGTTCATCCGAGTCAAATCTGAAGACGTGACAAGGAAATTTTTTCCAGACTACGTAACATAATAGCGTCGCTTTTACGCGATCCCGCAGCTTTTTTGGTATACGAGTCATATGATATTCCCCTTTGAAAGTCAAAAACTTGTAAACTTAGCGACCACCGATATTACGCGTTTTGTGACGTCTTAGACTTATAGACGGGACCGAGACAACCGAGACTGAAAACGCTGGGAGCGCCAGTGAGGTTGTAAACGGTAAAAAAGTATTTATAACACTCGAAACCTTCGTTGCTATTTTCCTTGCAGTTTTAACTGCTGATAGACTGCGCTGATTTATACGGCTTCTTATAAGATAGCCCAGTAGCGGCGGAACACCTTCAATTAAGGGGAGGGGGGGGGGGGCACTGCCGACTTTTGGTCCCATTCTTTCCATGCAACGCCCATAGGGCTAATGTTAAAATGCCAAAATCAAAGGGGGCACGGTGCCCCGGTGCCCTCCCCGTTCCGCCGCCTATGAGATAGCCATCTCTATTCTCAGAGAAAGTCTCGAATGTCACCTCGCTTGCCAGGGAAGCCTTAGGAGCAATCGTCAGAATTTGACTACGAATGTACATACGACACAATCGCTTCAGCGAACAAAAACTGTTTACTTCGCCCACACATCAGAGGGTCAAGGTGAATCGAAGTACCTCTGCTTTCACCGTTTCAACTGATCGGCAGCTTCCCCCCCCCCCATCTCACACTAACCCCCCCCCCCCCTCCCCGGTAACCGATCACCATGTGGTGTGCGCATGCACATCACACGAGCCGCCGACCGCTCGAGACTCAAGTATCACGGCCGAGAGGGGGGCGGGTCAACTCGAGGAGGGGGAGGGGCGGTGCGGTGACATACTGACGTCACAGATCAGCGCTGCTGCCATCTGCCGAGCAGCTCTGACACTAGACTCTGCGGCGGCGTTGCGGCTGGCGCGGGGCGGTCGCAGGGCCAGTTCGAGTCGGTGGTCTGCGGCATTGGGGTGTGTGTGTCGTCGAATGGACCGCAGGGTGTCGCGTGTGCGCGCCGAGTGTCAAGTGAGTGCCTCAGTCTGGTGAAGCGGTGATGACGGAGTGTCGAGCAGGCGATAGTTCTCCGGGAGGGGACGGTGCGGACCCCCGACTGCCGGACCCTTCTGCCGGGGCGGCCACAGACTTCCTGGGGGCGCAGGGCCCGGGTGAGGCGGACAATCATGTCACCGAGCCGGCCGCGGGGGGCGCACCGGCAGCCGACGGCGCCGACTCTGACAGTTCACAGGTGGAGGATGATCGGGCTCAGGTGCCGACGGCGTGGTCAGTTCCGACGAGCCGGCCGCCGTCGGCGCGCGCCAACCGGCGCTTCACCGTGACCAAGCTGGCCGAGGGCGAGGGACCGTCGTCGCCGCCGCCTCGGCACCACCCTCCGGCCATTTTTGTGTCGTCCGCCTCGGCCCCGGCCACGGCGCCGGCGCCGGTTGACTCGGGTGTGACTCCGTTCGACTCGGCGGCCGACTCAGGGGACACTGACGGCTGGGACTACGGGCCGGCCGCGGGCCCGCCGGCCGCCGGCGCCGGGTCGTCGGGCACGACAGGGTCGGCGAGCACGGCGGTCGTGTCGCCGGCCGTGTCGGGACTGGGTGTCCCTCGTGTCCCCGGGGCGCCGGGCTGCCGGTGCTCGCAGACCCTGCCGCCGCCGGGAGCGCCGGCCGGCAGTGGGGCGCCGCCTCCCGTCCGGGCACCAGCCGTGGCCGGTCTGGCGGCGGGCGTGCTGGCCGGCCTGCCGGGCGTGCGGGCCGCGCACTACGCCACCATGCAGCCGGGCGTGGGCAGTGTGCCGCCCACTGCGTACTACCAGCCGGTGCCGCGACAGCCGCTGCTAGCCACCGGCCACTCGGCCACGCTGGCCGCCGGTCTGGCGGGCTCTGCGCGCCTCCAGCAGGCGGTGCAGAGCCGGCTGGCGGCCGGCACCAGTTCGGTGCACCCGCGCCTCCAGCCCAGCCACCCGCTGTACCGGCAGCTGGCGGCGGCCGACTACAACCCGGCGCACACCATATCGTACGGCCACTCGGACGGCCGCCAGCTGACGGTGCGCCGCCTGCTCGACTGGGAGCTGCCCGACCTGCACACCGTCCGTAAGTACACAAGGTAAACACGCCCCCCGCCCCCGCCCAGATCACGTGACGCGCCCGCCGCGCCGGCCCGGCCGGTCACGTGACGGCAGCCGGGCCGACGCCGGCAGGACCGAGAGATTCGTATAGATAGGCCGGACACTGGACACTGGACAGCACTGCCTGCGGTCATGAGCGGTGATGGGAAAGGAGTGACAGGGAAGCTGTGTGACGTGTATTCATACGACCTTCTATAGTCTGTCAAACCTAAGGGCTAAGAACGAACGGATTTAAAGTGCAACAGCCGTTAGCCGAACATTGGTATGCACTTGTTTAGAGCTTGAATACGGAACCAAGTTTACCAAATGTGCTCCCTGTGAATTTTTGAACATCAGTTGGCTGTTGCTAACTGGAAAAGACACGAAATCGGACGACCGTACCTAGTTACCAAAGCCACCCGATAGTGTATAAACATACGATATAAGCCGCCGCGGAGACGCTGCGGAATTGGTACATCACTTACACATGAGCAGGGATTTACCGCAGCTAACGCTTACCGTTTAACGGCTTTATGATTATAATAACTCCAAAACGGCGCCCTTCGGATATTTCTCTCGAGTCTGCAAAGGCCCGAAGTCTCAAGGGAAGGCAGTTTATGACAATTTATGAGGGGCCTGACGTATCGGCGTCATAAGGCCCTACTGCTAGTCATAATGAGACATTAATTGTCTCAGATTGTTCAAAGATGACTATAGTCTGATCTGATACGCCAAACTTGTTTGATCGGGATCACCGTTTAGTTCGACAATACGATCACACATCACTTGAGTGATTTGTGATCAGCGATTTTTGACGGTGATGATGATGATGATGATATTTATTGAACAGAAAGTACTGGAACAAAAGAGTAAATCGGAGATTGGTGCAGAAGCTCAAGGCTTAATTCGGGGCACCTCTCTCCGTGCACACTCATTCACAAACATACAAGCTTACGTGCAGACTCATACCTATGCTTTACACTATACACATACATACAAACACACACTCTTAATCACTTGTACTGGCACGCGCACACGTAACAATTCTTGGCGTATCAGGTAATTGTTGTGTACTATAGCGTCACGTGCATACATGCACTCACACACGCGCGCTCACACACACACACACACACACACACACACACACACACACACATCGCATTTTCAAACAGTTACACTACACTCCATCATACGCATCGTACATTCACACACAATCAGTCATTAATGTCTCGCGTTCATTGCACATCAGCGACCGCCGCACGAGGAGGGACACCCGCCCACAGCGCCCCGGAACAGCCGCCGGGAGCCGCCGCCCCACGCGCCCGAGGGGAGTTTTGGTGATCAAAATCTGTGGGAATTAATTATGTATTTCTGGAAACAGCTTGCCACCTCTCGTCCGCTGCCCGGGTTGAGTAACTCGCCATGAAGTAGCATCTTAAGTTGTTTGGATGTTGGCAAAGTTCGAAAGTCAAGATTGAGAATTGTGGATAGTTCCTCGAAAAGCGTTTGTCGAATATTATTGTATGTAGTGCAATGAAGGATGTAGTGTTCCGCAGTTTCAAGTGAATGGCCGCATGGACAAGAGGGTGAATCTGAAAGGAGTAATTTATGGAGGTGTTCGTTGAGTTCAGATGCTCCGACGCGTAGTCTGGTGTGCAGGAGATTGCCGCGCTTGGAGCCGAAGGTAAAGTACTCAGGCGGTCGTGGAGGGCCAAAATGTTCGTGAATTTGTCGTTTAAAGGAAAAGAGGTTTGGATGGTGGACAGAGGGGGGAAGGTCGTTCCAGAGCCGGGTTGTGCTTGGTATGAATGACTTCCTGAAGAGAGTAGTTCTATTAAAGGATTGTGTGAGAGTGCTGGAATTTCGTAAATTTCTACCTGTCTGGTATGCTCGTGTGTCAGGAATAATTGAAAGAACATATGGTGGTATTTGAGGATCAGCTGTTTTTAGGTGATGGTAAAGTAGAAGTCTGTGAACTTTGCGCCTGTTTTCCATGGAAGTCCAGCCCAGTTCCTCCCTCAGTCTGTTCGTCGGTGTTCTTGTCATTGTTCCTGTAATAAGTCGGGCTGCGCGATTTTGAAGTCGTTCAAGTCTGTTAGCGTCGTTCCTAGTTATCAGTCCGTCATATACTATATGTCGCAATAGTCGAAAAAGGGCCGTATGTAGGTTATGTATATTTGGAGGAGAATGTTTCTTGGTACGTGTTTTGCGATAGGATAGAGGGGACCCAGAGCTTTGGTTACTTTCTTTATTATCTCGTTTATGCGTGTTTTAAATTTGAGATCAGAAGACAGGGAGATGCCAAGATGTTTGTGGTGCTCGCGGACGGGGATGGTTTGACCGTCAAAAACTAGTTTGGGAATGCTTGGGGCGTTTTTGAGTGAGAATGTTTGTTGTATCGTTTTTGATGCATTAAAGGTAATCATCCAATCATGGCCGTACTGCTGAATGTTGTCTAGGTCGCGCTGTAACGAGGTTTGTGTCAAGGCGAAAGTGTCATTGTTGTGTGAAGCGTAAAGTGAAGTGTCGTCTGCAAAAAAGAGTGTGTCATTAGAAGTCTTGGTCGAGAGTCCGTCTAGGTAAATAAGGGCTAGTAGAGGGCCGAGCACGGACCCTTGGGGGCATCCCGCATTTGTGGTTTGAAGTGAGGAAAACGAATTTTGTATTAATACACACTGTAAAAAAAACTTACAAGCCCCTCGTAGAGGAATTCTCAGCGCAAAAATAACATTGCAGGAGCGTGTAAATTTGGCTAATTTTAGGCTAGTTGCCGAGCAACAAGCTTGTTCGACAAGGCTGTGCCTCGTATGCATACGACCACCCTGCTCCACCTAGTTTGACAACACGCACGTAAATAGCGTGGGTAGTGCGTCTACTAGGTGTCATAATAGCCCCTGCCTGGTAAGGTAACTAGCCACTGCCTACTAATCCATACCCAGTAATTGTATTAGCCCCCAAGGCTAGTAGTGGTACTAGCTCAAGGCCAGTAGTGGCACTAGTTAACTAGTACCGCTACTGGCCTTCGGGGTCGAAGGCACTGGGTCGACGGAATTCCGTCGACGGAATTCCGTCAACCAGTGCCCCCGACTCTCGACCGCCACCCGCAAGTAAACAGACTGAGTAGCGCTGCAGCACATTTATTCGGGCACGATAACGAGAACGAGAACAATAACAACGCCAGGACAATAACTATAACTTTAACAATAACAACAACAACAACAACAACTAACTGAATAATTTGCAATCAGGTTTCTTAAATAACCACCATCAAACATTTGTGATTTTTCATTAGCTCTGCACCGGCGGCAGTCGCGGGGTGAAGGTAGGCCAGGACATATGTATACATGGCCCCATTCTTTACCAGAGAAGTCTGTAATGGGTGAAAAAAAACGAATATTAACATTATTATTATCATAAGGCATACCAATCTGGAAAATGATTAAATTAAAGTTGAATAAAGTGATAAATTCCTGCCACAAGCTAGCTTACGTCCCAAACATACACTGTAAAAAATATTGACGAGCTATGTGTCAAAACAAGGGTCTGGAAACAGTCACCAGGTTGTCAATGCTTCCGGTACCTACCACTTGACTAGTTACCGCTTAGTTAGCTTACAGGCTGAGAACTATTCAGATCGTTATGATCCGGTATTGTAATGATACCCTAGGTGTACCTTTGTTTTGAAGTGCTGAATTAACTATCAAGGTTGTTTGACGTTTGTTTTCGCCTCAATCCGAAACGAGGAAGACCCTCATCAAATTATTAGGTGAAAGCCAGCCTCAGGATGATCAAAATACTAGGGGTATAGTTTTGTCATAGTAATCTGTGAAGGGTGAGGAACAAGCCGTAGCAATGCACTCGTCACTAAACCAGCCTGAGATTATTCGCCAGGTAGCTGCTGCGTTTCCCTACTTGCTGAATCATGTTTGCAACTTTCCATTTCCAGACACTTTTTACGGCAAATAAATTGTTGGGTTATTTGGAAGGTGAATGACAATTTTATTTCTATAAGTCAATACATTTGTATTTCCGATTGCCCTAAAACTTTTTTTTAATCGTTTGCGGTAGGTTTTTATTGTTCGCAGTAAAGTTGCGCACCTGTGAATCCTTCACTTAATGCGTTCCCGGCTTCCCGGCGCCAGTTGCGCTGTGCCGTGCCGCGTTCGGTCGGGGGTGCGCGAGTCTGTGAAGTGCGAGTGTTTATCACTGGGCAAACCTGTATCGTTTCCATTTGTGCAGTGTCTAGTTATGAAGAATTGCTTGCCGATATATGACCTGCAGTGATCGACGTTCTGATTCAATAACTTGCCATAAGCCATTATTCTCAACCAAATCGCGCAGAGACGTTTGCAAAGTTGTCGAGGGGGGGGGACAAGAGCGATTTTAAATGAATTGCTCTCCATGCAGTGCAATAGGACTTAGGTTTAATTTTTCGAAAGTTGTGGAGCCGCCCCCGGTGTCCGGCCTGGCCAACTCTCTCAAGAACCGACAGCTAACGGAACACTGAAGTTTCACTACGACGATTTCCGCCAAAGTTATGAAGAAAAGGCAAGTGCAAGAAGTACAAAACTTCTCTTGGTAATCAAAACTTAGGTTTGGCAAATTCCAAACCCTAAGTCACTACAACTGTGGATATAAATAAGCTGGTTATTGACGGCCAAGCTCTGGCCAATCTGAGGTTCAGACCTATCATCAAGTTCATGAGGCAGCTGCGGTTTGGGCGGCTCACGGGCTCCACTGCATAGGCTCAGACAGGTACTCTACAAAATGTCTTCTGTGTTCTTAGGTTCAGATCTATCGATAGGTATGTGCATGCTTCTGATTCGATTGATAACTGTAAACGGGCGCTGGAAGTGAAAGGTTCGCTTGATATACGAAAGGTGCATTGCAAGAAAGCACATTATTTCAGAAATACACTTTCATTTTATCTTGAGCGTTTTTGGAATGGGCCGGATGAATTCGTCATCAAACTGGTAAGGGATTTCGTTTGAAGACCACC